ATCTCAATTAAACCAATATGCTCAGATACTAATTTACTTATTCAGCAAAATTTCTTTGAGAACACCATTTATATTTTGCACTAAAAAACTGATATATTTTATTTTATTTTGAAAAAGATTTTTATTTATGTTACTATACAATTTCAAAGCTTCTTCACGTAATTAAAAAATTTAGCCTATCTTATTATGATTTGTAATCCAATCAATAGGCGTTTTGATAAAGGTGTCAGAACGTTTATACCTCCCACAATCATTCACGGTTTATAACAATAAGCTGCCAGACAAATTAAAAAAATGCAACTTGCAGGACACGCTTGTCAAAAGAGTTACATAATATTGCAAAAAATTGTAAAAAAGCCATTTAGAAAAAACTAAGCAATCACGTTTTGGATTAATGGTTGGGCTTGAGGAAGTTCATCATAATTTTAATATTTTTGTGTTAAAAGGAGTTTCACTTCTTAATTGAGTATTTTTGTTTTTATTGTTCTGCAAGTAAAAGGGTTTTGTAATTTTTTACGTTTTAGAAAAATTTCATTGACTCTTCAACAAAATTGTATTATTTACCCTCCAATTTATATTTCATCTCATTCAACATAATAGAAAATTTGGCCATGCACAAAATCAAAAAGGGTGTGAGCCTTGAATCTTCGCCTGAGTACATGGATATAATTCAAAGTCCATTGGCACTTAATCTTTCTGTCCATGGCACAAATGAAAATAATATCTTTTCCTCTCTGCCGCGGTCTGTGGCACGACTGCTGCACGGCGGTGGATGCCGTTTTTATAGCACCTCATATATATGCATATGGGTGCTGCGTGTATGGTCTCTCTTCTTTCGAAAACGGCATCTGTTAAAAGTTGCCCACCAGTTTTGAGTCTCATTAAAGGTTTGTGTCGGCATCTCTCTGGCGGAATCTCTTTATAAATACGACTCTTCACGGCTTAATCTGTCTTCTAACGCTCAGCAGGGAGGCAAATATTTATGGTAATGTACTCATCCTCTCTCTAAGGAAGAATAAAAAGAGAAAAAAAGAGCGTCCAGCCTCTCTCGTGCGCACTTTATCACAAAACGAGCGTGTTTTACATGCGTGATAAGCACTTAATGAAAATGGCCCTGCGCGTTTGAATATAAATTCTAATTTGTCAGGAGAGCAACCAGGAAAGCAAAACATAAGAAAAGATCGTAAACTCAAAGCTCTGGGGAAAACATTAATCTTTGAAATAGAAATGCAACAATAAAAATTTAAGACAAAACTTTTTTTATCATTATTATTATTTATTCTTCTCGGTCAATACAAAAATTTAATTGGAAAAAAGAGAAGAAAGGGTTTACAACTAGCAGATGTCTGCTAAAACGCCCGACATCAAAAGAGACACGGCCGCCGCGGTAAACCCACACTATCGGAAAAAAAAGAACGATATTTATATTGTTCTAATTTCTTAATTTTATATTATTAAATTTTTTTTATTTGTTCAGTCCTGCTTCACAAAAAGAGTTAGAAAAAAGTCATTAATATTCAATATAAACTTTTTTCATCAATTTTTTTACTGATCGTTTGATATTTTAGTTCAAGTTATTGATAAGACACTAAATTTTTCAAATTTGAATTCATATAAATAAAATGGTAATAAAAAAATAATTCCTTCTGCCTTTCTGCCTTAAATATTAAGAATATTAAAACTTGTTTTCATTGGTGAAACCAGCTCAGTCAGTGGTGCCTTTGTAAGATATATTCACACGTTAGATACAGACGCAATCAAACGAAAAGAGCAAGTTATATTTTTGTATATATATAAATTATTGACGTCTCTCTGCCTTTTGTCTGTCATGCGGAGAAAATTCGGAATAATTCACTTCTCATGTTGTGTTAATCGATGCGCGCAGGTTGCGGCGGATTTAAACAAAGGGTGCCGAGAGGAGAGATCGGTGCTCGTTTTGCATGTAATTAGAAGCTGATTCTGGTGTCCGCGCCAAGAGACATCGACCTTCACCTGGCGCTGCAAACTCGCTGCTTTGGCTCCAGCGGCGCGCTTCATTGCATTCCGATGTCAGCGTTTTCCATCATATCCCAAACAGAGGATGGCAGATGAAAGAGAGCCGACCCCCTCCCCGACGAGGAATGCATTAAAAGACGTTTTCATTAGGCATTTTTCGAATGATTGTTATATTATGTTGTGATTTCGTGTTCGTGTGACTCCTCTCTGTCGCCGTCTCTAATAATGTGGTGGCCGCGGCACGTCTTTGAAAAGGATCGAAAAATTCCCCGCTGATTTATTGCATGTTGACAAAAAAGCGGAATAACACGCGGCCAGCCCATTCACAAGATTAAGAGAATTTTTGCCTCTGTAGTAAAAAGCACATCCAAAAGGAAACTATAATATTTTTATATATCGACTGCTTTTAAAATGACTTGTAAATATATAATTTTTTTATTTCCATAAAACTTTTGATGAGGGATGTGATATTATGACTATATCACATTTGTAAAGATTCTTGTCCTAGTACATGATCTGTAAAAATATGATGATTTGTTTATATAGCTTCATAAACTTGTACCTAATGATGCGTGGTGTTAGTAAAATGCAGCAAATTAATTAATAGCTTATATTTTAAATACACTTTATGGTTTTTCCTCGTTTCATTTATCATTGAAGTTGAAAGACTTTTCGAGTATTCAGTGTAGCAAAAAAAATTGTCTCTTCGTAATTCGAATAAAAATAATCTATGCAAGGACGATGACACAGCAGACTTATTAATATTATAAATTTCATTCACGATTTTCGCCAATGGTTTTGTCTTAAATAATAAAAATATATTCCAAATTACAAAAAAATATGCATATTTAGTTTTACAGTACTCAAAATTTAAAATTCTTTTGAATATCTTAATTCATATTTCTAAACAACATAAATTTAAATGAGCATTTCCAAGTGAATCTGAGGGGCGATTGGAGGATTTTGAAAATGGAATAACCTTACTTTGATTTTTACATATGTTCAAGAAGGTGTCTAGGGGTGTCCACTCACAAATTTTCAGACCCCTAAAAAGGGGCGTTCCCAAAAATTTTGATAGGTCAAAAATGGGCAAAAATTAATTTCAATTTGATTTAACTTTGGAACGGATAAAGCTATCTTAACGGTTCTAACTGATTCTGGCCTAACTTTTTACGCTGAACAACTTTGCTGTTGACACCAAAGTTGTAGGTCAAAGGTCAAGGTCACTTTTTGGTGACCCTTGGTAAAAAAGTCATTTTTTGAAGATGATGGCCACCTTCAATTTTTTTCGTGGTATAGGAAAAAATGTAGCCCGTGAAATTTTGCATCACATATGTAAAATTTGGGAGGGTGTTATTTTTTGTTTTTGAGTAATTAACCCCTAAATACAAAAAAACGTGTCCGACGAGGATATAAATTTTTGCAATAATTGCCAAAAGCAAAGGGAAACATAAGGAATCGTGCCAGTTTGGTTCCAATGCTTAAAAAACATCATATTAGGGTGAATGCAACATACATCTGACCCCAAGGGTCTTTCAGGGGTGCTTTTTACCCTTTCGATGGTCTTGGAATTTTTTTATATAATTAAACTGTGTTTGATATCAATTCCTATGTTTTCCGGTGCGGAAAAGACGAATTTTAGGTCAATTACATCGATAGTCATCATTTAGACCATATATTTTAACATCTCAAAATCTTATGAAAAAATCTACTTTAGTAAATGAAATTTATCAATAATTATGTTAAATTCTTATCCAAAATGACAATAGGAGACGTATTTGACCTAAAATTCGTCTTTTCCGCACCGTAAAACATAGGAATTGATATCAAACACAGTTTAATTATATAATAAACTTTCCGAACGCTTAAAAGACCATCGAAAGGGTAAAAAGCACCCCTGAAAGACCCTTGGGGTCAGATGTATGTTGCATTCACCCTAATATGATGTTTTTTAAGCATTAGAACCAAACTGGCACGATTCCTTATGTTTCCCTTTGCTTTTGGCAATTATTGCAAAAATTTATATCCTCGTCGGACACGTTTTTTTGTATTTAGGGGTTAATTACTCAAAAACAAAAAATAACACCCTCCCAAATTTTACATATGTGATGCAAAATTTCACGGGCTACATTTTTTCCTATACCACAAAAAAAATTGAAGGTGGCCATCATCTTCAAAAAATGACTTTTTTACCAAGGGTCACCAAAAAGTGACCTTGACCTTTGACCTACAACTTTGGTGTCAACAGCAAAGTTGTTCAGCGTAAAAAGTTAGGCCAGAATCAGTTAGAACCGTTAAGATAGCTTTATCCGTTCCAAAGTTAAATCAAATTGAAATTAATTTTTGCCCATTTTTGACCTATCAAAATTTTTGGGAACGCCCCTTTTTAGGGGTCTGAAAATTTGTGAGTGGACACCCCTAGACACCTTCTTGAACATATGTAAAAATCAAAGTAAGGTTATTCAATTTTCAAAATCCTCCAATCGCCCCTCAGATTCACTTGGAAATGCTCAAATCGAAACATAAGATTATAAGGAATAAAAGTTAAAATGATAAAAACAGTTAAAATTATTCTGTTACTTTTTTTTATATAATTATAGTTATTATTGTTGTTTTTTTATGCAGAATGTGCTTATTTTTCTTATTTAGAAATTTGAATTCGGAATGCTTTGGAATGAAAGGTTGGAACTGTTTTTTAACTGTGTCTTTCAATAATTCAACCAGCTTATTTAATCTGAAGGACTTTTAAATTTTAATAAATTAAAATAAATATTAATTTAGTTATGCATTATTAAAATGAGAATTAAAAAAAACTGAAACTGGTAAAAAAATTTAAGATCGTCGTCTTGCAATATGAATAATTTAATTATTGTTCGGTCATAAAAAACGCAACGAAAATTGAGTTGGTGGTACCATCTGCGAGCACCCGAGCGACCTAACGAAAGCAACTTCGTCTTTGTATTGCCCGCCAGATGGTGGATGCTGCCAGGACTTGGAATTTTAACAGTCCATCCATCGACAATAATAATAAACAACATCGAGCGAACGAGTGAAGCCTGCTGAAATTTCTAGCAATAATTTTTTGTATTTCTATGAAATATTATTGAAATTTTCTTTGAGGAAAATGTGTCTGGAGGGGACCGTGTCCGCTCGTCTCTTCTCGCAAATCGTCCAGCACGTCTCCGTTTCGCCAGCAATCGTGAAAAGTGAGCAGAGAGATGATCCTGAGATGGACTTCACCGAGAGGGCCAAAATCGTGGAGGAAATTTTGAGCAGCCACCCTGAGCGGTTCTTGGAGAGATTCGGGTCGCACCTGATTGAGGAGCACTTGTGCTACTTTCAAAATCTGGACTGCGCCGAAGGTGGCGAATATTCCATTAAATTCCACGTAGATCAAATCCAGAAAAGATTGGCGGATAAAAAGAACGTGCTGGTGAAAAACAGGAGATACGCGGCTTTGAAAAAGCTGGTCAAGGAAGGGAGCTACTTCAGCGAAACGGAAATGAAAAGCCGGAATCCTTTGCTGTACGACCAGCTCGTCGGACAACACATGACAGAAGACGAGACTTACGAAAGAGACAGAGCAAATTTCCAAAATATGACGTAAAAATGAATTAATTTTGTACTTATTTTTATAATTAATTAATCTTTCTTTTTTTTCAGTTTGGCTACTTTTCTGATGGCTAGATTTGATAAAGAGGCAGAGGCGAATTTGCATCAGTTCCAACAGGACAGAGAAGAGGCTGCCATGGAGGAAAGTGACGAGGACAGTGACGAAGAGGAAATGCCGGAAAGAAAGGAGCCGAATGAAGACGAGGACGAAAGATTGCTCTTCAGACAGGAGTTTGTCACGCACATGTACAACAGCTTTCTTAGGGGGCAGGACAAAGACTTTGACTACAGGTGCTAAAATATAAATTCCAACAAATTTCTTATGCATTAATTTTGAAATTTCTGCAGTTCCGTTGACCAAAATGCAGATTATGACGACATGAGTGCCAAAGAGAGGGACGAAGAGGACAGTTATTTTGATTCAGAAACGCCCGTAACTGTGATAAAAAGTGAAAGTGCTGCGTCGACGGTTGAGTCCGAGGAGGACGAACTTGAAGCATTTATGCGAACTTTACCTCCAACGGAAAAGCAAGTTGATAGTTAGCATGAATGCCATGAATACATTACATATTTGTATTAAATAAATCAAAGCCATTGTAAAATTAAATTAAATGTATAAAACTGAGAAGAGAGATTGGTTTCTTACAAAAAATCAAATGGAATCATGATTTTTTATTTATATAATTTATTGCTGTTGATTGATTAATTTTTCATCTTGTTGAAAATAACACTACACTTTTTGCAGTACTTCAAATAATATTTTTCAATTGCCACTTATCTAACTTTACTGAAATCACTGCATTTTAAATCATCAATGAAAGAATTGAATAAAATTTGCACTTTATTATTTTGTATTATATATAATATTTTACAAGAATTTTTATTAGAGCTCCGATTTAATTAAATTTTGTTTTCATAGGTTTTCGCATGGATTTCAATTTTTTTTATACAATCTGAAAATTCAATTTTCTGCAATACACAATGGACAAGACAGAAGAAATAAATTTAAATTCTCTAGAATCCTGAAAAATTTGATTATTTGACTGTTTTTTACTGTCGTTGAATTTAAAGTTTTAGTATTTTTTTCCTTATCAAATCCCATGTTTTAATATGATCTCTATAATTTTAATTATTAATTTTTAACTTAGATAAAAAATAAAAATGTGGAATTAATAAATTTATTGATCCAGAGTCTTGGCCAGCGTGTGCTTCCACCTCATGGAATTGCTGCACACTAAGGGGTACGAAAAGGTGGAACATCCAACATCTGTCGGGGTTGATGGGCGTTATTACCGGCGTAGGGGTGCAATCTACTTTCAAAAGTGGAGGGTAGCAAAAATAATGTCCAATTACACCAAATACCGACGCCCTATAAATTCCCATTTCCTGGCCGGAGAGAGACCATTTTCGTTTGATATTGTGATTCGGGCGCCCAACTTGTGTTATTTCCTGAAGTCAATCCTGTTCATCGAAACGGCGCTTTTTATGGAACGGCAGCAGTTGGAAAAAGTTCCGACGGCCGGTGCTGAATAAAATTTTACGATTCCTGCGGGCCGCAAAACGAATGGGAAAAGTCTGTTAAGGACTGCATTAATTTCCCGGTCGGCAGCCGACCGGCAAAGAATTGTGTTTCCACAAGACTGTCTCATTACAAAAAGAAAGGGAAAAATCGCACTCGTTATATTTTCTCATCTGGTTCCACTTGAGACAACAATCGCGAGAGATGCATAATGAATAAAGCTTTAGAAAAACAAATCCACTCGGCAGTGCGAATAATATAAAATCTAGGAGTGCGCGCGTTTTGAAATTCATATTATCGCTGGTGCGCACCAAGATTGGATGAGTTCATGAGTGCTCTCGAGCAGCACGAGCCGGTTCAAACTTGCATAATAAAGATGCTACTTCAACTAATTTTGAATTATTCATAACGGAAAGGCCCACATTATCCTTTTATCCCTGTGGCCCCCATTGTGTTGTTCCGCTCAAAATTCACCCCCAGTTATAAACTAATTAAGCTTGCAGCTCTGAAGCTCTGCAACTGCGGTGGAATTTGAATGAAAATGTATATATATTTGTGCTGAAGCCTCGAGCTTTTTGCCGGTGGTTGTATGGATTTCAAAATCGCCCTCCGCAGGCAGGACCACTGGTCCACGACGGAGCTCAATAAAAATTACGGCGTGCGCAGTAAAAATGTGTGATAGTACTAAAGTACTATCCAGGGGTAGGAGACAAACGAAACAACTTTTTTTACGCCTGCAGGCGCTTCCCTCTGTTTTTTACGAGAGAGCATAAGAATGCGTGTTGGAAATAATTAACAATTTAAGTGGCTCCCATTGTGCCAAACACAAAAAAGAAAGAAAGAAAAAATAAAATTTAAGAGGTGTGAAAATGCGGAGAACGTGTTTGTATAATTTTGCACGGTGCGGTAATTTTTCATCTGTGCATCCCTTGGTGGCTCAGGTGGGTTTTCTTTTCCACTCTGGCGACCAGAGTCATTTTAGAATCCTCTCGTCCCGTATCAGGCGGACTCGATCGCATGGAAAGCGGATGTCGTTGCCGGCAAAGTCATTATTTCCGAGCTGTTGTACTGCAAGAGAGCGGCTTTATTCGCTCCTTATCAACACAAATAGCTCCACTGGTGATAGCACGTTATTGACCAGCGGCAGACACAAAAATAAACGGCCCTTGTTGAAGGACTCGCTCAATGCAGGTTTTTGTGTGCAGTAAAATCAAACGGTATAAAAGCAAAGTGAATATAATAATAAGAGTCTCGGAAATTCAGCGCCATACAAAAAGGGTTTTTACAAAATTCACGACCGGTGGAGTGTGGGGTGTATTTTTACAGCCGCCTCATTCTTTCATAAGCGTGCCAGGCTCATCTTTATTCTATTAAATTTCTGTGCACTTTTCATCTCCCTGGGGCGCGAGCCCAAATTTGCTCTACCTGCTGGCCTCGCGCAACGCAATTACTCTCTGCAACTTAATTAAACATTTTACGACTGCTGCATTAAAAGTCTCAGTTTAGTTAGTTAGTTTTCAACGCGGTGCCACGATCTTTGCTGTGTGCAGCTCATATGCATAGAAGGAGATTAGCGCGGCAAGTCGCCCCCGGAGCGCGCCGTTCCAGCGGCAATATCATTTTCTTAAACGAAACGCCGTAGTTTGTTGTTTGGACTGCTCAGCACAAAATTATCCGGCGGAACTGCAGCGTCTTAGGGGCTCAGTCTAATTGCGAGAGTTTAGAAAATGGTAATTTTATTATCAAGACAGCAGAGGTCATAAGAGCAAACAACCACGTCTCGCGTCGCGACCCTCAACTGCATCTCCCCAAACGAATTTAAATTGGAAATTTTTCTAATTCCGAAAAACAAACGAATTTTACCAAAAGTTTGTCCTCTTTGTATTTATAAATATACTCGGGAGCCGGGAAAGGGTTTGCTTTGCTTAATATCCAAACTCAAAAGTGCACATTCAGGAAAGGCCAATCTGGGCGCGACGTTTAATTTAACGCAAAAGTGCTTGCGCAAGAACATCGGGCAACACACACAGTGCTCTGGTGGCAAAGCTCGCAGAATAGAGAGGGCATATAATCTCATCTCAAATACGGAAAAAGGCTGGTTCAGCGCAACGCCGGTTGATGCGTGTGTAATGGCAGAAAAGAAAAATGCAAGCTGTGGGAAAAGTCAAGCATGATCTAGATTGCAAACAAAACGTCTACAATAGAGTCCCTCTTCATGATGGATTGCGAGGGCAAAATGGTATGCATTTGAACAAAAAAGGCTCTGAATTCCTGCAGAAAAACAAAATGCAGCATCATCCACTTGTAGAGACAATGAAACCACTTCATAGCTGCCTAGTAAAGGAAAAGTTTTTAATTAAAAAAAAGAGCTCCCAGCGTGGTATGAAAGTTTGATTCCGAACTTCTCTTTCTATAAATAAAACTTGTCCCCAAAATCTTATTTGTTTCCAGAATTTAGACTATGCTTGCCACACGTACAACTTAAACCTAAAAGTTAGGGTAGGGAACTTGAGGACAAAAAGTAAACTAATTTTAGTCGTGCGTGAAACTAGGGCTGCTAGGCCGTAATTGGACAGGCCAAGCATCGTTGGCACTCAGAGAGCCATAAATTAAATTAATAAAATAACTCGCTTGCGCCCCACTCGTCTTCTTCTTGCTAACTAGAATAAACAATTAAAGCCGCAAGACGTGAATTCTTAATGGGCGTAAGCAGCTCGGGAGCAGAAATTCGCTGCATAACTCACGCGGGCTAAACACACACATACACGTAACACGGCAGACACACACGAGCTTTACTTTAAAGAGTAAAAGTTAACATGACTTAAGGGTCGGAGAATAATTTCTTAGTCCCGAAGTAAATTATTCGTCGTCGCTGAAGCTGCAGCGCCAGCAGCCGCCGCCGCTTTCCCTTAACAACTTATGCTACCCTTTCTAATCCTCGTTACCATAGGAACACTCCAACGCTCAAGTGCTTACGCCAGACTCGCTGCTCTCTCGCCTCTTGAATATTTCGCCGCGAAACAAGGGGAGCGCTGCACTTACTAGAGATGCTGAATGTGACCAGCACTGGGACACAAGAGATGCAAAGCACATTTAATATTTCATGCTAGCAACATCAATATTCCGGCCCTATCTCTGCATTGGCTCTCGATTTGTTCTTACCCTCTGGTGACCATGCCCTTTTATTGCTTTCTCTTCCCGAGTTTTCTTTTGGCAAACACACATTCCATCATGCAGAAATAGATTTTTCTAGCTGCCGCCTCTGCTCCCCCAATTCGATCCGGAGAACACATAAAAGTTTCACAAAGAGAAATCCAGCCGTTCGCCGGGAAGAAATAAATTATTCCCCGTTTTATCATCACTCCTGACTCTTGTTGCTAACTTGGATGTATCGATTGCAAGAAAAACCACCGTTCAATGTATAAATAAAATCTGTTAGGAAATGTGTGAAGAGGAACAAACGTAATCAGATGAAGCAGGGGATTCAAAAAGAAATTTGATTATTGTTTCAAAACGTCAAGAGACGCACACACGGTGGCGCGTGTTCTCCCCTCACATTGAATATTAAAGAGATTCCAATTCAATCTGCTAGACACATTCTCAAGACACCCCTTTTGTTTGCTTCTTTATCGCACTAATTTTTGTTGTTCCAGGAGCGCGCCGACCGAATTTTTTCACGCCCGCTGATTCATTTTAATCCGATTTGGGCGTGAAAGCGGCAAAAAAGGGGTAGGCACTCGTCGGGATTTCATGTGACAAAAGCTCCTACGCACACACTGTTTATTATTTTTTCTACTCGGCGGCGACTTGAATTTATAAAAAGCGGCCGGGGGAAAGTCTCCTTTTTTTCTCGCACTCTCGGCGCGCAACAACAAAAAAAACGGCAGCCTGCCTCACTACCAGCGTTAAAAACAAAATCACATTTATTCCGGCGCCGCCGAGGTAAAATATATATGAGCTCGTCGGTCTCTCCCTTTTTTTTCTAAAAAATAAAAAGGGACTGCTACTTCAACAGCGAGGATAGGACATGCAGAGTTTCTTTCCCCCCTTTGCGCGCGTCTCCGGCTGCAATTGTGCATATATCCCCGAGTACACCTGCCTCTCCAGCAGTTTTCCACGAGGGCTGCACCCTCGCCGGCAGTATAACTCTCTATTGTCTCTGTTTAATATCATCTCGGGGTGTAATATATTACACTTTCATTACCTGGGTGCCGGCTGGATAGCATCA